ATATATATAAATATATAGAAATATAATTTTAATTACTTATTTAATTAGTAAGATTATTGAATTTTATTTATTTTCTTTAAATTATTTAATTAAATAAAAATATATCTCCTTTTTTACTTTTGTTTCTCTAAGAGCTTGTTTAATATAATAATTAAAATTTAACAAATGGTGGATAGTACATAGCGCATAATGGATGGCAGATAACAAATAATAAATGGTGGATAGTGAAAAGTAAGTAGAGAGTAGCAAATAGTAAATAATAGATTTAATTAATGTAACTATTTGTTTATACAATGATTAGTTGTTGCTGTTTCATGTTAAATTACTAATAAGAACATGTTTAAAATTAATTAAGAATGTTTTTTTTTATATATTTTCTATTATTATCATTAGCAATTCTATAAAAATAATAATAAGGATATAAATAAAAAATATAATATAAAAGTGTGGATCACAAACTCATTTATATTTTTAAAAAAGAAAAAATTATATTTATTTTTAAATAAAGAAAAAAATGTTAATTATTTTGTATAATTAGCAAATTTTATTTATTAAGTTAATATAAATTTTTTTAGATCATATGGTAATGTAAAAAACAAAAACAAGATAATCACTTAGTGATATTAGAGAGAAAAAATAAAGTTGTAATCGATTTGATAATTAGTAACTATAGACTATGGTAAAAATAGATAATTAAAATAGATAAATTTATTAATAAAATTAAAAAATTCTAGCTCGTTAATAGTTTGGTACAGAAAACCTACCTAATGTTGCTTTTTAATCCATCAATCCTTATCTAAATGAGGTTAATTAACATCAATTCTTTACCTTCCCTTTTCTCTACTAATTCTTATCTAAACATTCTTATAGTTTGTTCGGTTTGATGGAAAAGAAAAAGAGGGAAAATTATTATAAGTAGTCAATTTATTTAAACTATATAAAAAAAACTAATTAAATTATTGTATTTATGTAATAATTGAATTTAATTAGTAGAAATAATAACACCTTCCTTTTACAGTTGTACCCTCCCTTTCCCTTCTTTTCCGCAAACCGAACACGCTGAGTCGCTAATGCTAATAGGGAAATTAAATTTCCTTTGTTAACTTCAATACCTGTTTCAGAAGTTGCCAAAAATGTAGTATTTCAAACTGTTGTACTTATTTTTAATTCAAAATAAGCACTGTTTCCTTTAATTCTCAAGGAGAAGACTTCTTACATCCATTTCTTTCTTCTTCTTCTTCTTCTTCTTCTTGATATCTCAATGTTTTAAATATTTGACTTTGAATTCAAATTAATATATTTAAATTAATTAGTACTGTGATACCTCAAAATTTTTTAGAATATTTAAGTGTGAGTTAGGGACTAACTTGTGAGGAAATATTATTAGTGAATCTAATGACAATTTGTGTTAAATTCAAGGGATTTAAAAGAGGAAAATTTGGATAAGGATGGCTTATTTCTTTTCTTCTTCCTTTCTTCTTCAGCCCGCGTGCTTTTGCTCTTCCCGACCCTGCTGCAGCCGAAACAAAAAAAAAAAAAAAGGGAACCAAGCAAGCCGACAGCCATCCCTTGAAAAACCCGGTAGAAAGCTTGAAATTTCTCCTTCTTCTCTTGTTAAATAACAAGCATAGAACCCAGAAATCCTTCCCCCCCATCTGCA